CTAAATTTCGTTGGGTAGTTTTTGAACTGTGAACTAATCTCTCCTGCAGGTGCGGCAGTGCCGCTGTTTGGAGCGGCAGTGCCGTGGGTGAATTTGACTTCGGTTTGAGTTGAATTTTTACAGGCCTATTCACCCCCTCTAGGCGTACCAGAGATTCTACACTATGGAAATAGGAATATGAGTTCCATCAATGGCACCTAGACATTTCTTGAAAAATGGATAGAATCTAGGATTGTGTTGGATTTTTTGATGCGCTTGATTAGGATCGGGAGCTTGAAGGTAACGGCGAGGGAGTGCATGAATGACCACCCTGAAGAAGTGGTTGATGTGATGATGGAAGGTGTCATTGTTGTGCCCAAAGAACACTTGGAGATCCTCATACGAGGCATTGTGACTTAACATGTATAGGAAGAAACCCAACTTCTCCTCCACCATGATCTTAGTATCAACAACAAGCCTTTTTCCTTCTAAGATAAGTTGCCAATTCTGTAAAGATGTGTGGTTCCATCATAAATGCAACTTGACAGTTCTTGACATGTCCCTCGAGGAGTCTACGAACTTAACCTCGCATATTTCTTTCGAAGTATGACGTTTCTTCCTTTCTCTCCCTCTAGTAGAACTCATAAGATATAAGGCGGGGAAAATAAATAGCATCATGTCATTGTCTTCTTCCTCCCTCCTCTTTCTAATACGATCTCGCAGTGAGAGACGCATTTTAGAACTAAAGCATATAATTTGATAGTCATATAGAAGCTAAATATTATTAACCATGTCATATAGAAGGTCTAATAAAGATTAGTCATATAGAAGCTTCAGAAGTACCTTCTGGAGTTAGTACCAGATCCCAAGAAGGTGGAGGAGGTTCACCTTCTCCAACTCTAAATGGTGCTGGAGAGATCTACAAGTAACAAGAACCCGCAAGTCACATAGTGCTGGAGGGTTATATAATACATTTAAATAGTGCTGGAGGATACACAATACATCTAGCATTGCATGCTACATTTCTGGAAACTGAAAAATAGCTGAAACAACATGCTAGAATTAAAATTGTTTTTATTTTATTTATACTATCAACAAATAATATCATGTATACTACCAAGTATAGAAAAATAGACACATGGAGCTACTGCCTACTAAACTAAAAAATCAATCATATATCAACATTATACAAAACTCTGTATTGACATGAAAGTATCCATTTTAGGAACAAACTAAAGAATGGACAAACTAATTGTGTGCAGTCCATCTATTTCAGTTCTAACAATCAGTAACTCTATGATATTGTGGTCATTAAACATAATTAATGTTACAAGCCCCTTCTCACAAAGCACATCTGCTACAGAATGCTCTCACTACAAGAAAAAATAGTGGTCAAAAGAAACAGGGAAGGCAGTCAGCACAAAAGACTAGTTAATCGTCACATCACAAGAAAGGGCACAAAAAGGTTGGTACACTAGTTAATTGTCGATGTGTTTAACAACAGGCCCTCTATCACAACAAATTACCACCACTAACAAAAGGTTACAGAAGAAAGAAAAGTCACTGTAAACATGAACTGTCCAGGGCTTAGATATTACATCCTAATATAAGCTCTGGATAGTTCATGTTTATGTCTTTTCTCCAGCAGAAGCGTAAGTAAAATGCGCATGAAGAATCGCGACTGAAGACACTGTTTTTCAAATCAGGGATCAGTGCAGGTCAATTTCACCCTTTTCTCCATGATTCTAGGCCAGAAGATTAATAAAAATAAATAAATTTGGGGACTCAATCTGGCACCCTGCTGACAACTATAGTAGAATACATCAAATGTTCCCAGTTGAAAAAATGTAGGCGCTCACAAAAGCAAACTATGCCATCTGAATGCCAATGCCACCATAAATGCATGTAGTGGATAGCCGGACTTGAGGAAATACTAGTGACACAAACTAAACTACAAGTATCAATTGTTTAATCACAGTGATATAGTTCCTTCACATATGTCAAAGTTCTTCTCCAGATCGAAGAATTGAAGAACACGCATGTGACCTAGGTCAACCTGGAGTAGGATAGATCGACGCCCACTTCTAGCCCCCACTACTGATCACATCATCATCCATCGAACTACCAGGAGACCATCGTGCTCAAGATCAAAGAACCCTAGAGGAGGGAGAGAGGACGAGGACGAAGGGGAGAGCGAGGGATCATCGGCGAGAAGGAGGAGGAAGAGGAAGGACGTAGGGTCGCCGTCTCCTCACGCCGCGCTGTGGTCGCCCCGCCGTCGCCTCGTGTTGCCCCGCCATCGCCTCTGCTGCTCGAGTCAGTCGCATGCTCGTGTCGCTTCCAAGAGCCGGCACCGATTCGAAGGTAAGGAGGTCCGGTTCCGTTCCGGGCTGTGGAGACAAGGAGAAGTGAGGCCAGTTTTGATTCCAGGCCAGTTTTAGTTTCAAACCGGGCTGAAACGAACAGACATTCTCATTCACATCCGGATTGAAAACAGGCCACAACAATCCACCCGGAACGGCCCCCAACAGGCCAATCCGATGGAAACGAAGGAGGCCTTTATATATTTGCTCCGGTGAATTATGGATCCGCGTCTCTCCGTCTCTCCGATACGACACGATCCGGTCAAGTCCGGGGGTGGTCTCCTCGTGGCCCAGTACGTATGGCACGCCGCAGCAGCGCAGCACGGAGAGTACCCACAATTGTTATTTCTGCCTGTTCGGTTGGCTGGTTCGTATTGTTGCTGGTTCGTTTATATGAGAGAGAAGTACTGCTGGCTGGTTTTGATGAACATTGCTTTTGTAAGGGGGCTGGCCAGCCCAGCCCCAGCCAGCCAGCCCAGCGATCACGCTAATATTATTGCCGTGCCAGTCGATGGCGCGCACGGATGAGTAGAGATTTCGCCTGCTAATTAGTCAAGCAATCCCAAACTTTTAACTAAAATGTATATATAAAAAAGTAGCAATACTCGAGTACTAATACGTATATTCCTGATAAACATGTTTAAATATAGTCAAATCTAGGATTGTTTGACTAGCTAGCCTCAAAACGAGGTATCAATTTTAGGCCTCGTTTAGTTGGCTAAATTTTGTAAATTTGGCTACTGTAGCATTTTTGTTTTTATTTAGCAATTAGTGTTCAATCATGGACTAATTAGGCTCAAAATGTTCGTCTCGCAATTTCTAACCAAACTATGCAATTAAATTTTTTTCGTCTACATTTAATACTCCATGCACGTATTGCAAGATTCGATTGATGTCTATTGTAGCATTTTTTGAAAAAGTTCTTTTTAAACTAAACCAGGCCTTAATTTTACATAGGGCCTGTTCGCTGGTTGGTGCTGGTGCTGGTTTGAGCTGGCTGGTGCTGGTTTTCTGTGAGAAGAAAACACTATTGGCTGGCTAGTTTGGGCTGGTTGAAACCAACAAGCGAACAGGCTGATAGGGAGTACGTACAACTGTACAAGTGTTGAGTCTACGACAGACGTGAATTCATTTCCATGCAGACATGCAGGAGTAGGTTGGGAGGAGTACTCGTGCCGTCCTGCCTGCTGCGATACGAACAACGAACAAGCCGGGCTCGCGCCGTCGGCAACGGAACGGCGGGCGTGCACGAGGGGGAGGCCACAGGCCGCACGGAAAACCGAGCGAATCATTGAGCCGCCCCGCCCCGTCCGTCCTCGCAGCCTCCTCGTCCACTACGCTGGTCGCTGTGGTCAGTGGTCACCCACCCGCCACGGCAGAGCAGAGGGCAGCCACAGCGCACGGCGCCACGCACCAACTTACAAACGGCTGAAAAGCCGTGACATTTTTTTATTGCCTTAACCTTCGATTACAAGACGTGAACTCACACACCAACTTACACCACATGTACGAATCTTAACACACTCACACCTCTAGTGCTTAAGCTATATCTAAGGCTAGAAATACACGGCTGAAAGTACGACGGTGATGCCATATCCGTCTAAGGCAACTGAAACTTATATTTACTAGGGAAAACCCCGGTGAGGAAACGCGGACGATCCAGGGTTAGAATCGAACCCGCGCCTAGCCGCTCGCCCACTGCGAAAGCTTACCGACCGAGCCAGCGCTCGTCCTCAAGCCATGACACTCAGTGGCGGACCCAGCGGGTATTCCAGGCAGTCCTAGGACTACCCATAAATTTGGCCCAAAATTCTATTACTACTCTTCAAAAACCAGCCCACGGTCACTCTCGTCTCAGCCCAGACCAAAGACACCGCAAATCCACGAGCTCTTCAAAAAAATAACGCGCTCGAGAGGGAACGAACCGGGGACCTCCTGTCTCGGGCTACAGGGCACTTACCAGTCCAGCTACGAAAGTTTGTTGGACAGGTGATATCCGCAACTCTATTTAATAAGGGAAAACAGAAAAAATATCCCTTAATTAATCACTCCTTAATATACTAAATTATATTCTAAACGACGTTTTTTACCGGTACGGAGGAGTATTTACGTAAGTTTCGAACCTTACTAGACTACCTTTTCTCAAATCCTGGGTCCGCCGCCGATGACATGACACTTGACACGCCACACTGCCGCCACTGCCGGCAGCCCCGGCTCCCCACCAAACACTGTACGGCCCACCGCAGGCCTGCAAACTGTGACGCAGCCATCCACTCCCGAGCCCACCTGCCAGCGCCGGACCCACCGCACACTCCTCACTCTCACTCGCTCACTAGCTCAGCTCTCTCCATCTCCCGAGTTCCCAACGTCCTCCGTCCTCCCCTGACACGGCCACGGCCGTGCCCGTGCTGTGCTTGCATAAAAGCCACGCGCAGCGCAGTGAAGGCGGAGCGCGTGAGGAGGCGGAGAGAGAGAGAGAGGGGCAGCCAGCAGCCATGGTGGACCTCTGACCCCCGCGCCAGCAATAATACCACCCCCACCCACAACGCCCGTTGCCGTTGGTTGTGGAGCCACCGCCCCAGGCTCTCTCCGCTCCGCTCGGCTCTCACTGTTCGTACCCCAGCTCGTCGATGCCCCTTGCCAACGCCGCCGGCCATCATGGGCAAGAAGGGCGGCACGTCGTGGCTCACCGCTGTCAAGCGCGCCTTCCGCTCGCCGTCTAAGGACGACAGCAGCAGCCCCACCAGGAAGGCGTCGCGCCTCCGCGAGGACGCCGACGGAGACGACGACAAGGTCCGACTTCGCCCCATCCTCCTCCTCCTCCTCCTCCCTGTTCTGTTCCTCCACCACACCCTCACACATTCTCTTCTCTCTATCCATTCCTCCGCTCCTTCTCACGTTTCCGGTCGTCCCTCGCCGTGCAGGGGAAGCGGGAGCAGCGGCGGAGATGGCTGTTCCGGCGGTCCTCATCCCCGTCCCCATCACCAGCACCGGCTCCCGCGCCAACGGCGCCAGACCACGCCCACCCGCACCCGCACCCGCACCCGCACCCGCGGCCCGCGGCCGTGACGGAGGAGCAGCGGCACGCCATCGCGCTGGCCGTGGCGACGGCGGCGACGGCCGAGGCGGCGGTGGCCACAGCACAAGCAGCTGCGGAGGTGGTCCGCCTCACGCGCCCCGGCGCCGTCCCCGTCCCCGCCGGCAGCTTCGTGCGTCGCGAGCACTACGCCGCCGTCGTCATCCAGACCGCGTTCCGGGGCTACCTCGCCCGCCGCGCGTTGCGGGCGCTCAAGGGCCTCGTCAAGCTGCAGGCGCTGGTGCGCGGGCACAACGTCCGGAAGCAGGCCAACATGACGCTCCGGTGCATGCAGGCGCTGGTGCGCGTCCAGGCCCGCGTCCGCGACCAGCGGATGCGCCTCTCCCAGGACTCCATGCTCTCCATGTCCATGTCCGGCGCCGCCGCTGGTGGTGGCGGCGCCGCGCCGTGCGGCAGCAGCAAGTCGTCGTACAGCGTCGATACGTCCACGTTCTGGGACTCCAAGTACGCCCACGACTACGCCGACCGCCGCTCCGTTGTAAGCAGCCAGACCACTCGTGCCTGCCATTTTGCTCTAGATGTTCGCGGGAATGAATGTTCTTGCAATGTGGATCATTCGTCTGTCGGATTTGGTTGCCAGGAGCGGTCGCGCGACGGCAGCAGCTTCGCCGCCGACGATTGGGACGACCGGCCGCGGACGATTGAGGAGATCCAGGCCATGCTGCAGACGAGGAAGGACGCGGCGCTCAAGCGTGAGAGAGCGCTCTCCTACGCCTTCTCGCACCAAGTGAGACGACAATTTCTTTTTTTTTTCTTTCTATTCTAGGAGTATTGGTTGGCAGATAGTGACAGTGATAGCATCTTTATCCATCGTTCATTTGTGCTTGCCACTTGCAAACAAAGATCTGGAGGAACCCGGCGGCGTCGGCGGAGGAGATGGACGTGGACGGGCAGCCGCGGTGGGCGGAGCGTTGGATGGCGTCGCGCGCGTCGTTCGACACGAGCCGCAGCAGCATCCGCGGGGGCGGGGCCGGCGCGGCGGCACCCGGGCGCGCGTCCATGGACCAGCGCGAGCCGGTGAAGACGCTGGAGATGGACACGGCGCGGCCCTTCTCGTACTCGACGCCGCGGCGGGGTTCGTCCTCGCCGATGCACCGCGCGCAGCATTCGCAGCAGCAGCACCCGGCGGTGGCGACGCCGTCGCCCGTGAAGGCGCGGCCGCCGATCCAGGTGCGGTCGGCGAGCCCGCGCGTGGACCACCACCACCACCGCGGGTCTGGCGGCGGAGGGAGCTACACGCCCAGCCTGCTCCACTCGCAGCGGCACGCGTCGGCGGTGCCGAACTACATGGCGGCGACGGAGTCGGCCAAGGCGCGGGTGCGGTCGCAGAGCGCGCCGCGGCAGCGGCCCGCAACGCCGGAGCGGGACCGCGTCGGCAGTGGCGGCGGGCCGGCGGCGGCGAGCGGCGCGAAGAAGCGGCTGTCGTTCCCTGCGCAGCTGATGCAGGGGCAGGCGGCGGCGGAGTACGCGCAGAGCCTGCGGAGCCCGAGCTTCAAGAGCGCGGCGGGGCGGTTCTCGTCGGAGCAGCGGTCGACGGTGTCGTCGTGCGCGGACAGCCTCAACGGCGGGGACGTGGTGGTGTCGCCGTCGTCCACCACTGACCTCCGCCGCTGGCTCCGCTGAGTCGCGAGGGGCCGGCCGGCCGTCTAACGGCCGCCGGCGCGTGGCTCGGCACGTCAGACACGGCCACGTGCTAGCTCGTTGCTGTACTACTTTCTTTCTTTCTTCTTTCTCTAGGTGTAATTCATGGCAGCCTTTTGTTTTTTTGAGCGACGGATTGGAGTTGGAGCGTGTGCAGTGGTGCGCGTGGTGTGTCCCGATCGTCAGAGGCAAGGTCGCAGGCGCAGGCAGGCTGGACTGCAACTGGAAAGGGCGCTGGGCGCGCAGGCGGTTTGGGAGAGCGGGAAAGGGCGTCGCGGGGTCGGGCGAGGCGAATCCTTTTTGCGTTGCCATTCCATTGCATTTGGAAGCGGGAGCGGGCTGTGGCGCCTTTTGCCTTTCGGCGTCTTCTAGGTGGGTGTGGGTGTGGGTCTCTCGGGCGGCATGCGAGTTTGGGCCAGCGCCGTACGGGCACCGCTCCCCTCGTGTCCACCCAATCCAAATCCAGGCATGAATGCTGGATGTATGATGACTCATCCAGCAGACGAGACGGGACCTGCCACTGCCATCCAATTACTGCACACAGTAGGAGTAGTGCTTCAACAACAAACTGTGTGCTGACACGCGACACGAGTACAGATACTTTTTGTTGTACGAGTAGAGGTAGACGGATGCGATGTGTCAATGGCGATGGCGGCCAGCTGCAGATCGGACGAGGTAGTACGTGTACACGGGCAGTACTCGCTGCGGATCGGACGAGGACGACGTACGTACTTGTAGTACTACGTACTGTACTGCCTGCGTGCGCCCTCCATTATTAGGCCGGGCGTGGGCGTGGCGTGGAGCCTCCATGGAGATGGAGTGGACATGCATGTCTCCGGGACGGCGACGGGGCGGGGGCAGCCGGGCACGGGCACGGGCACGCGCATGTGCCGCGCGCTCGGCGCTGGACGTCGTGATCGTGAGCGATCCGTTTCCACCAGTAGTGGGTGACTTGAATGGCGATGGCGTGGCCCATGGGAACTGGGGTTGTTGACGCGGTCGCGTGCCGCGTCACGTGGCGGCGGCAGGCAAAGCGGAGGGGCTGGCAGCGCGGCAGGCAGGCGGGCGTGGCGGGGCCGACTCCCGCAGTGGCGAGCGCATCGGCCGGGTGCAGTGCATGCAGACGCAGCTGGTGGTGGGCTGGGCGGACAGCAGCGCGCCGCGCACGTGCCACTGCCGCTGCCGCTGCGCGCGCCGCCGGGGTGGGTGCCTGCATACTTTGCCTTTTTCCGGGTTGGCGCTTGCATGTCTGTTGTCTAAACTCCATGCTAACGGCGGGTACTACTAGCTCTCTAGCAGCACTCCGAGCCTCCGGTACTCGAGTCGGTCAGCTCGCCGTCGTTGGTGCACGCCTACACAGTTTGTACGTATCCAGCATGCATTCCACCTCCGAGGCATGAGCGCCAAATATGTACAGTCCGTACTACTATAAAACATATCCGGACCGGACGTCCGGCCCTAGTTGTACTAGCAGCAGTACGGAGAAGCACTTGCAGGCTTGCAGCAGCAGAAGCAGCTCGTGCTAGGGTGCTGCTGCTACGAGTAGTAGCATACGTATTCTACGCTTTGTAGTACTACTAGTACTAGGAGTAGAGTACTCCTACTCGTACTAGGTACTAGGGTACACACTGCCATAGGTTGTGATCAATCATTTTGACAAGACCGTGCGACGTCGCTCCCGAGGAGCTGTCATCTGAAACAACTTTTTACAGGTACCACGACGTGTTGGTGTCCCGAAAGCCGCCTCAGAGTGGGGTATAGCCGCCTCAGAGTGGAGGGAAGGGGGGCTCGAGTCCAGTACCCCTCTTCGTACCAGTAGTCCCCCAACGGCCCGCCCCTCTCCTGCCTTCCAATACCTAGCTCCTACCACCGATCCTCCCCACCACCTGCATCGGCCTTGGTAATGTCGACCTGACACTGGCGACTATTGTGTTCAAGGACAACGGCACCACCCTGCACCCTCTGTGCGTGTGCGACAATCCATACGGCTCCTCAACCGCCCTGTTCCCTCCCCCGGTGGAGGTCACCACACCCTTCCCACCCATGTCATCCTCTCCTTTCCCATCTAGTGGGCGGTTGTGACGATGAAGCTAGCATCGTCTACTCATCCCCTGTCCCCTCTTACTTCCACCGGAAGGGGCGGCAAAGGTTACTATTACACTCCGCCCAACAATGGGTCTATGTCCACTAGTAGTGGCGGATCTAATATGGGAGAAGAGAGGAGGGGAGAGGCCCAAGCCCCTTCTACCCTTTGGCCAGTAAAACCCATCCCTCCAGCACCCCCTTGATTTTTTGGCTATGGAAAGAGAGATTGGTGGTGGTAAAACTTGGTGACGACATCTAGAGGTTCAAGAAGAGTTTGATTTGCTAACCTAGACCAATGGATAGCTTCAATTAACCCATGACGACAAGCATAAGCCCAACAATTTATGTTTCCCCTTCCCCGTCCTCCAATATATCCCTAATCAATCCTCCCATAGCGCCCTAGGAAAACGACGACAGGGACGACTTGGCGGTCAGTGCCTCAAAAATATGTCAAATGACAATACACAATCACGGTCGAAGGCATGAGCTAAGTGGAAAGTTCTCCCTATGAAGGTTGCTTCGTTTGAGACTGTTAGGCTCTGGCCCATGAGGGCCACCATGAGCCTATTTCCATAGAGACATGAAGAACTGGACTGGTAAAAAGTGTTGCATGGAAATTTATTAGAATATGTCTTGCTAGGCGTGGTTGAAGATTGTTCATTTGGTTAGAGGCTTGTGACTGAGAAGGCTGATGGGAAGACACTTATATACATGTCTTTATGTCTAATGTAACTTCAATGCCATTTATAAACCACACATAATTATATAATAAAAACCAACAAAACTACATCTACCAACACATTTTTCTCGACTGCTAATATATCTCAAAATAACTTTAAAAGTTCATTTCCTAACTTGAGGTATATATATAGTTGTGTTTACCAATCAGGTGATGAACAAAGGTCTATTTCATTTGGAAAAAGCGAGGGCGCGCGGGTAAACTTTGGTGGGCCAAAAATTCCATTCGGGATACTCGTCCTATTCCCAAGTTGGGGAATCGGGAATCGAAAGGAGGGCTGGTGACAGGCCGGCCGCCCTTTGCTGCAGCAGTCGCGGCGACGGCCCAACGTTTACCATACCAAAGCAGCGTGGACGGCAAACCAACATGGAGGCCTCTCTGTCCTCGGAGGCTGGGAGGCCCATGCAACGCCTGCCAGTGCCATCCAGCAGCCGGCGAGTCCACCTGGCTGCATGCAGCAGAAGCAAAAATAATGCTGTGCGTTGACCGTTGAGTGCTCGTGGTCGTGGACGCTCTGCGTTGCTCTGCCTGAACCTGAACGTCGGTGGGTGGGAACGTGATGCCAGTGGTTGGGTGGGAACGTGTATCACGCGGTTTTCTGTTTCAAGTTGTGTAAGGTTTGTTTTTCTGATGATGAAACATCCTTGTTTGTTTGCGCTTGGGTTTTGGTGTTTCATGATTATTATTATTGACTAGTTCTGATTTTCGATTGAGAAAGATCGCCGAATCGTTCGCTTTTTCCTTTTCCCTTTAATTTTTTCATTAGTGGCCTAGGATAGTGCACGTTTTCTTTTCGCAAGGAAAAAGCAAAATTAAAGTTCAATTACCTACTCCTTTATTGACAGCTTGTGATTAGGAATTCACAAGCTTGATGATGACCCATGGAGACGGGAGAAGAACTGGTACCATTATTGCACTTGTCGTGCTCCAGAGCTTGCGGCAGCACATGTTATTAAGCACTTGGGATTGAGAGGAATTAGGGAGGATTTTCACTTACTTGGGATTTAAACTCCCTCGATCCCCTCCAATCCCTTAGATTGATCTACAACCAAACAAGGCCTCGATCAACTCCAATCCCTTAGATTGATCTGCAACCAAACAATGCCTCAAAGTATACTCCGTACAACCCTCCGTTTTCCTTTTCCATGACAAGATTTTTTATGCTGATCTCTAGCTGCCGCTTCACATGTCAATCAAAAACATTTTACACCCAGAATAATATGAGTGTGTTTGCACACTGTTTGTTCGCTGAAAAATACTGCTAAAGTAGTTCACACGAACAGGGCCTGACGACATCTGCAATCTCATCAGTTCAAAATTGGTGCCTGCGGCTGTAATGTCTATCTAGGGGCTCAATCCAAACAGCCCCTGTGTCCAACGTGTCATAACTTGCAAAATCAGGGCCTTGTACCAAACATTAAAATAGGGTTTACTAGTAAAAATATATATAATGGTAATAATATATATTAGTGTTTAGGGTTAATTAGAACCATTTCATTATGAATTCTACATTTATGTATGAGACACGCCACTACATCTCACATAGGCCTTGTTTAAATCTAGGATGTAAAGTTTTAGAGTGTCACATGGGGGTGTCACATGGGGTGTTCGGATACTAATAAAAAAACAAATTACAGAATCCGTCAGTAATCCGCGAGGTAAATTTATTAAGCCTAATTAATACGTCATTAGCACATGTATTACTGTATCACCACATTGTCAAATCATGGACTAATTAGGATTAAAAGATTCGTCTCGCAAATTAGTCGCAAACTATACAATTAATTATTTTTTAGTGTATATTAATACTCCATGCATGTGTACAAATATTCGATGAGATAGACAATAAACTTTAGATAGAGGAACTAAACAAGGCCCTAATAGGGTTTGTGCCATTATAATAATTCATATGAAGTGGGCCCGACACATCATATAAAGGGTTGGGATGATGTTCGGGGCCTCACAGGGCAGCAGGTGGAGGAAGGGAGAGCAACCGGTCATTTCCATCTATACGGAAATACGATTGTCCAAACATGAGCCTTAGTAACCCGTGGGCATATATACAATAAAGTGGCTTAATTCATGTTTTGGGTGAATTATAATGCATACTAAATCTATCATGTGAGAAGTAGTGGCGCGTCTAAGAATTGTCGGATTT